GGACGGGGACAGGGACGGGAGGACGGGGACAGGGACGGGAGGACGGGGACGGGAGGACGGGGACAGGGACGGGAGGACGGGGACGGGAGGACGGGGACAGGGACGGGAGGACGGGGACAGGAGGATGGGGACGGAGATGGAGATGGGACGGATCCAGGACTTGAACTGGAGGATGGGGACCGAGACGGGACGGGGACGGGAGGACGGGGACGGGAGGACGGGGACGGGAGGATGGGGACGGGGACCCGAGGACGGGACAAGGACGGGGACCCGGGGCCTCAGGACAGAGCTGGGCCGGGGAGGAGGACAGGTCGTCAGGACCGGGAAGGCTGTCCGCCCTCGGAGGGGTCAGCAGGGTTTTGGGGGGTGTCCGGGCGAGGGGAGGAGGCCTGGGTGGGTTTCTTTTCTTGCGTTCAGTGGATCTGGCCGCTCCAGACGGCCAGGTGTGTGTGTGGGGGGCGGGGAGAGTGGGTTCTCAATGCAAGAAGTCGGGGGTGAAGGGCATGTGTGCGCTTGTGGGAGGGGTGCTTGGGATGGGGTGGTCAGGGTGAAAGGTCATGGCCTGGCAGATTGCGTGGCCCCTGTCAGCTGGCCTGGCAGCAGCAGGGAGGGAAGGAGGAGCTGCCAGAGGTGGGGGAGACAGATGGGGCGCTGTCCTTCAGCTCTTTATCTCCAGGCTAACGGGCTACCACTTTGAGCCATAGCTCCACTTCCGGTTTTCTAGCGGTTGATTGGAGATAAGAGTCTCATGGACTTTCCTGCCCAGGCTGGCTTTGAACCGAGATCCTCAGATCTCAGCCTCCTGAGTAGCTAGGATGACAGGCCTGTCTGTATTTCCATTCTTGAAGATTGGGTTCACAGACAGCAGAAAGAATTTTCTTTCAGTCCAGGAGAAGGTGTGGGCTGTAGGACGGTGTTCCTAACTATACATGCAGTACACCGAGGGTCAACCTCCAGTGCTGTCCCGAGTGCTTCTCGTCCTCACACAACAGCAGCACCAAACCCTCAGTGGTGGGCACCTGCAGCACCTGTGTCTGGGGAAAGCCAGCCAGCATGACACCTGTCATCTGACTCCTCAGCTTGCGATGCCAGCGCCGCTCTGTCCCGCCCTTCCCGCAGGCATGTGCGTCAAGTGCGGCCTGGGTATCTATGGAGCCAGGCAGGCGTGCCAGGCTATGGGCAGCCTCTACCACACTGACTGCTTCATCTGTGACTCCTGTGGTAGGTGCTCTCCAACCTCCTCCTCTTCCCCCATCATCTCCTGGCACCCAGGGGCTCAGGCTGGGGTATGGAGGAACCTGGTTGCGGTCTTCCTGTGCAAATGTCCTGTGGCCTTCTCGGGGAGGGACCCCTGGGGAGAGACACTGCTGCCTGTCCTCTGTGCAGGGAATTGGTGGCCTGGGAGCCCTCTGCTGCTCGGGACATAAAGCTGACCTTCACACTACTTTCCTCTAGTTGTTTCTTCTGTCTCTAGTTTGTACCAATGTCAACTACAAATGTTATAATTTAACCTAGGCAAAGTGGAAAAGAAGTTGGACGCTGGTGGCTCACATCTGTCATCCTAGCTAGTCAGGAGGCTGAGTTCTGAGGATTGCAGTTCAAAGCCAGCCAGAGCAGGAAAGCTTGTGAGACTCTTATCTCCAATGGACCACCAGAAAACCGGAAGTAGAGCTGTGGCTCAAAGTGTTTGAGTGCTAGATAGCACCCAAGCCCTGAATTCAAGCCCCACAATGAAAAAAAAAAAAAGTTGTCAAGAAGAAAAAGTAAGAGGAATCTTAACTATATTAATAAATCTGCACTTGAGATTTTCCACCTGTAGTTTAAAAACAAAACACAATAGCAGACCTGGCCCCCAAGCAGACATATTTGGTTTATTTGCATTAAATGTGTGTGCTAGTATTGGGGCTTGAACTCAGGACCTGGGCACTGTCCCTGAGCTTTTTGACTCAAGGATGGCATTATACTACTTGAGCTCCACCTCTACTTCCCACTTTTTTTGGTGGTTCATTGGAGATAGAGTTTCATTGCCAAGCACCTGTGGCTCATGCCTATAATCTTAGCTACTCAGTAGGCTGAGAGCTAAGGATCCCAGTTCGAAGCCAGCCCAAGAAGAAAAGGCCCCATGAGACTCTTACCTCCAATTAACCACTAAAAAACAGGAAGTGGCACAGCAGCTCAAGTGGTAAAGCACTAGCTTTGAGCACAAAGAGGCTGAGGGACAGCGCTCAGGCCCTGAGTTCAAGCCCCACAAGCTGGAGGGTTGGAAGGGGTGGTATGTCTCATGGACTTTCCTGCCTTGACCGGTCTTCGAACCATGGTCGTCAGATCTGAGCCTCCTAAGTTGCTAGGATGTGAGGCATGAGCCACCGGCGCCCAGCCCGTTGAATTGTTGGTACAGACTAGATTGTGCGTAGGCATCCCTGGAGAGGTCACTCTGTGCATATTTGTTTTTATTTCTCTTGAGTAAATTCCAAGAAGTGGAATTTCTGGTTCATAGGGTGAATGTATGTTTAACTTTGTAAAAAAAAAAAAAAAACTGCCAAACTTTTTTCCTAGAACCCTTATCCTCTCTCCCTGTCCCGCTGGATATGCTACTTGGTTTATCCTATGTACCTGCAAACAGCTGCTACTTGACTTAACCTTTTCAATAGGTCATCCCATAGCTACTATCACTTTAAAGTTTTAGTTTGATGTGTGTGTGTGTGTGTGTGTGTGTGTGTGTACACACTGGTCCTGACCATTGAACCCAGGACCTGACCGCTGTCCCTGAGCTTTTTTTTTGCTTTTTTTTTTTTTTTTTTGTCGGTCGTGGGGCTTGAACTCTGGGCTTGGGCGCTGTCCCTCAGCTCTTCAGCTCAAGGCGAGCATTCTACCACTTGAGCTACAGCGCCACTTCCGGTTTTCTGGTGGTTTATTGGTGATAGGAGTCTCACAGTCTCTCCTGCCCAGGCTGGCTTTGAACCGCGATCCTCAGATCTCAGCCTCCTGAGTAGCTAGGATTACAGGCGTGAGCCACCAGCACCCGGCTCCCTGAGCTTTTTTATTCAAGGCTAGCACCCTACCACTTAAACCACAGCTCCACTTCCAGCTTTTTTGGTGGTTCACTGGAGATAAGAACCTCATAGACAGGGCTAGGAAGGTGGCTCAGTGGTAGAGCGCTTGCCTTGCTTGCATGAGGCCCTGGGTTCGATTCCTCAGCACCACATAAGCAAAAAGAAAAAAGCCAGAAGTGGTGCTGTGGCTCAAGTGGTAGAGCGCTAGCCTTGAGCTGAAGAGCTGAGGGACAGCGCCCAGGCTCTAAGTTCAGGCCCCACGACCAGACCCCCCCCCAAAAAAAAAGACTTGTACCAACACAAAAAATGGGGGAAAGGGGTGGCAAAAGCTTTAAACAGACTTCAACAAAACAAGATCTATTAATAGTCATGAAGGAAACAATAAGAAAATTCAGTTGGGTACTGGTGGCTCACATCTGTCATCCTAGCTACTCAGAGCCTGAGACCTGAGGATAGTAATTCAAAGCCAGCCTGGGCAGAAAAGTCTGTGAGGTTCTTTTTTTTTTTTTTTGGTACAAGTCTTGAATACTGGCTCTCATGATCTTGCTTAGCTTTTGCACTGAAGGCTGATGCTCTACCACTTGAGCCACAGCACCTCTTCTGGTTTTCTGGTGGTTCATTGGAGATCAGAGTCTCATGGCTGGCTTTGAATGGTGATCCTCAGATTTCAGCCTCCTGAGTAGCTAGAATGACAGGTGTGAGCCACCAGCACTTGGCTGTATCATCTTACTAAGTAATAATGATATAACACTCAAAAGAAATTCATCAGGCACTGGTGGCTCATGCCTGTCATCCTAGTTACTCAGGAGGCTGAGATCCACGGACAGGGGTTCAGGATAGTCCATGAGGTGCTTATCTCCAGGTAAACACCTAAAAAGCCAGGCGTAGAGCTCAAGTGATAGAATGCCAGCCTTGAATAGAAAAGGCTAAGGGACAGCACCCAAGCCCTGAGTTCAAGTCTCAGGACTGACATTTAAAAAATAATGTGTGTGTGTGTGGTGTGTGTGTGTTTGAGAAATTGAAAAGTACATCTATAGTCCACAGCTCATCGGTTGGAGGGAAGTTCTGTAAGGTGCCTTCCCTGGTCCTAACATACCAGAGACCCCCTTCTCTCCCCCCCCCCCTTCCCCTTACAGGGAGACGACTCCGAGGCAAGGCGTTCTACAACGTGGGCGAGAAGGTGTACTGCCAGGAGGACTTCCTGGTGAGTTCCGGCTGGGCCCTCGGGCTGGGCCACGGGTGGGAGCCGGGGACCTTTGGAGCACCCAACTTCCGGTTTCCTGTATTCCCTCCGCTCAGTACTCTGGGTTCCAGCAAACGGCCGACAAGTGCAGCGTGTGCGGACACCTCATCATGGACATGGTGAGCGCTTCCCCCGCCTGCTAGCGCCCCTCAGACCCCACCCTGCCGCCTGCTCCACGCCTGCTGGGGATCCCTTTAGGAGCAGCCTTGAACACCTTCCACCCCCAGATCCTGCAGGCCCTGGGCAAGTCTTACCACCCCGGCTGCTTCCGCTGCTGCGTGTGCAACGAGTGTCTGGACGGGGTGCCGTTCACGGTGGACGTGCAGAACAAGATCTACTGTGTCAGAGACTATCACGCGTGAGTGGCCCGCACCCAGCAGGGGTCCCCATCCCCACCCCGGCTGGCTCCCCCCACCAGTACTTGTTTTCTTTTGTGTCTGTCTTGAGGTTTGAACTCAGGGCCTGAGTGCTGTCCCTGAGCTTCCTTCACTCAAGGCTGGCGCTCTACCACTTGAGCCACACCTCCATTCCTCACTTTCTGCTGGATCACTGGAGAAAAGAGGTCTCCCAGACTTTTCTGCCCGGGCTGGCTTTGAACTTCTTTTTTGAACTTCTCTGAGCTTCTTTTGTTCAAGGCTAGCACTCTACCCCTTGAGCCACAGCGCCACTTCCGGCTCTTTCTGTGTATGTGGTACTGAGGAATGGAACCCAGGGCTTCATACATGCTAGGCAGGCAGTCTACCACTAAGCCACCTTCCCAGCCCCTATGTGGCTGGCTTAAAAATCAGTGCTGGGCATCTGTTCTTTGGCACTCAGGTAGAGCCAGGCCCTAGCAAGGGTCTCAGCCTGAGGTGACCCAGGTCTGGATATTAGGGGAGGGCTTTAAATTACTGGACGTAGAAAGACCTGGCCTGACAGAGCCCGCAGCCTCCAGACCGCCGGGTGTGGAGGCGAATCAGGGAACGTGGTAAAAGTTTAATACCAAGAAAGCTCCACAGACGCCGCTTTTCCAGCCAAGGTACCTTGTCTTAACTGGCAGGAGAGACCTGCACCTGGGCCGGGCCAGGGGGGCTGCAGTGGGCACAACCACCCTTGTGCCTTTGGCCTCTGGTCACTTGCAGTTGTTGCTTTTATTCTTTCAGGGTATTTGCACCAAAATGTGCCTCGTGCGCCCACCCCATCCTCCCAGCACAGGTAAGGACCATGGCTCACCTGAGGGTGGGCGGTGCCTGGGCCTCCGTGGGAGGGATCAACAGGTGGCATCAAACATGGAATCACATGGAGATGTAGTCTCCCCCCTCCTGACACACACAGCTGGGGCACCCCATGCCACCCCCACAGGCCGCTCCCTGGGCCCGTTCAGTTCTGCGGTCCGGGTTGGATAGGCCAGGGGAACAGAGGAAGAAGGCCATGGGTTTAGCAGCCGTCCGATGGCTGTCTCAGCGTGCTGTCTGTCTGGCCCTCACTCCAGCCTGCTGACAGTGCTCTTTGCTCTTTTTCTTTTTGGTGCCAGTCCTGGGGCTGGAACTCTAGGTGTAGGCGTTGTTCCTGAGCTTGTGTGGATTTGGTTTGGTTTGGGTTTGGGGATTGTTTTGTTTTGCACAAGGCTGGTTCTCTTCCATCTAAGCTATTTCCAGCTTTTTGCTGGTTGATTTGCAAGATGCTAGAGAACTTTTTTTTTCCTTTTTTTTTCTTTTTTCTTTTGTTGGTTGTGGGGCTCTGAACTCTGGGCCTGGGCGCTGTCCCTCAGCTCTTCAGCTCAAGGCTAGCGCTCTACCACTTGAGCCACAGCAACACTTCCGGCTTTTTGTGCCTATGTGGTGCTGAGGAATCGAACCCAGGGCCTTGTGCATGCAAGGCAAGCGCTCTACCACTGAGCCATCTACCCAGCCCATGGAGGACTGTTCTGCCCCAACTGGCTTCAAACCTCAGTCCTCCAAATCTCAACCTCCTGAGTAGCTAGGATGACAGGTGTGAACCACCAGCAGCTGGCAAGAGTGGTCTTTTTTTTTTTTCCAGTCCTGGGGCTTGAAATCATGGCTTGGGTGCTGTCCCTGAGCCTCTTTGTGCTCAAAGCTAGTGCTCTACCACTTGAGCCACAGCGCCACATAGGGCTTTTTCTGAGTAGTTTATTGGCGATAGGAGTCTCATGGACTTTCCCGCCTGGTCTGGCTTCAAACCTGGATCCTCAGATCTCAGCCTCCTGAGTAGCTAGGATGACAGGCTTGAGCCACCAGCGTTCTGCTAACAGTGGTCTTGAATGCACATGTAATGACACCCTGTGATGCACAAGAGACCGTGTACGTGTGCATGGGCCTACCTGTGTGCACGCCATACCCAAGGTATTGTAAACCACATGTGTGTCCCTGCTTGTGCTTGTGGCGATCCAGGGAAATGTCAGATCGGGGTGCACACAGCCCCATCATGGCTGGGTCCAGAGATTTGTGGGCTGGCATGTCCAGGGCACTTCTGTGTGTGAGTCCTGTCTCCCTCTCCAGGGCTGTGAGACCACCATCCGTGTGGTGTCCATGGACAGAAACTACCACGTGGAGTGTTACCACTGCGAGGTGAGCCCGGGACTCCCTGCTGGCCCGCTCACCGCTCGCCTCCTGCACTGTGCGCATGTTCCCACCCACCGCATCCCAGCTCTGAGTGTGTGCACGTGTGCGTGCATGCATGTGCTAGTCCTGGGGTTGGAACTCAGGGCCTGGGTGCTGTCCCTGAGCTTTTGTTGTTGTTGTTGTTGTTTGTGGGGCTTGAACTCTGTCCCTCAGCTCTTCAGCTCAAGGTGAGCGCTCTACCACAGGAGTCACAGCTCCACTTCTGGTTTTCTGAGTGGTTTATTGGAGATAAGAGTCTTTCCTGACTGGGCTGGCTTTGAACTGTGACCCTCAGATCTCAGCCTCCTAGAGTAGCTAGGATTACAGGCGTGAGCCACGGGTGCCGGCTTCCCTGAGCTTTGATGCTCAAGGCTTTTGAGCCATATCCATTTTTTGTTTTATTGGTGTTAACTGAAGATCAGAGTCTTTTGGATTTGTCTTCTCCATGCTTGGCTTGGAACTGGGATTCTCAGATCTCAGCCTTCTGAGTAGCTTGGGTTTGTTTTTGTTTTATCTTTTGTGTTTGTTTTTGGTTGGTCCTGGGGCTTGAACTCTGGGCTCTTCAGCTCAAGGCTAGCGCTCTACCACTTGAGCCACAGCACCACTTCTGGCTTTTTGTGCTTATGTGGTGCTGAGGAATCGAACCCAGGGCCTCATGCATGCAAGGCAAGCACTCTACCACTGAGCCATCAGGCTTGTTTAACTGCCACATTGTGGGCCGATACCCATAATTACCACTGGGTGCAGCTGGACTACTCAACCGCTGTGGTTAGGGCCAAGCTTTCCCCAGCCGCTCTGGCTTCCCCCATCCATGACAGGCCCGCTCCCCGCTTACCCCGCTTACCCTGGGCCGCCCTGCCCTTCCCTAGGACTGCAGGCTCCAGCTGAGCGGTGAGGATGGACGGCGCTGCTACCCACTGGAGGGCCACCTGCTCTGCCGCCGGTGCCACCTGCGGCGCCTGGGGTCCGGCCTGCTTCCCTCCGCCACTGCGCGCGTCACTGAGCTCTGAGCGGGGACCCTCCCCCCCCCTGCGTGGGGCCAGCGGGGGCAGGGCAGGATTGGATGAGTGGCCCGGGCTCCGCGTGGCTCGCTTGCTTCCATGCCTCTCCGCACCCACTCCTCCCACCCAGCTGCTGTCCCGTCCCCAGGGGCTGGCCCCCTGAGCCAAGCTACTTCTATTTATTCACCGTCTGTGCCTCTCAGCACCCCTTCCCGCTGGACACAGGGAGCCGCCAGACACCAGCACGCACTTCCCAGGGTTCAAGCCTCAGGACCTGCCACCCCTCACTTCGCACCCCCCCCAAAAAAAAAAAGCCAGAAGTGGAGGTGTGGTTCAAGTGGTAGAGAGCCAGCCTTGGGAGGGAGGGGACGGACACCGAACGAGAGGGTGAGATCTTGAGTTCAAGTGCCCCCCCCCCGCCCCTGTACTGGCACAACATAAGTTCAGAGGCCTGGGGCCTTGTCCAAATCCACTCGCCCCCAAGCAGGGTTTGGTGGGTGGTGGTGTGGTGCTCAGGTTTGTGAGTTTTTAGTTTTTGCCCACTGGTGGGTGGGAAAGGGTCCCAGCGTGGGGGGGAGGAAAGGCATCCTGGGGGAAATTGTGGAGACTGGCCATGGCCTTGAGGGGGGTCTCCCCTAGGTCTTCTGGATCCTGGCTTGGGTGGGGGCAGCCCCCCTTCCTTGGCAGATGGACAGCCCCTGGTCATGGTGAAGCGGGGCCACAAGGGGGCGCCCTGTGCACCTGGCTCAGGACACACCTGTGTGCGGGCAGCACACTGCTTCCCGCCCCCAGGACAAACATGATAGGATTTGACTTAAATTAAGTTTTGGGGTGTTCCTGTTGTTGTTTTGGTTGGTTTTCCTTTGAGGATATCTTTATTATACTTTAAAAGACTCGTGTTTTCATTCTAAGAATTTGGGCCCAACTGATAATTTCTTAAAGTTACAGCCGACTCCACAATACGTGTCCCAATTTGTGTATCACATGTCTAAACTTCAGGTGGAAAAGAACGTTGTAGTTTTAAACTATTTTTGTATAAATTCCTCTGAAAATCTCACCGTGTGGGCCTGCTTTTCTGACTTGAGTGTGGGGTAGTGTGGGCTGGATGATGATTTTTTTGTTAAGTAGCTGTACGAGGAAGTTACAATTCCATAAGTCAGATTATGTGTACGTAACCTTTTTGAAAGATGAGTGGAAGCCAAGCATGGTGGCTCACATCTATAATCCCAGCTACTCAGGAGGCCGAGATTTGAGGATTACCATTTAAGGCCAGCTGGGGAAGAAAAGTCTATGAGATACTTATCTCCAATCAATCACCAAAAAGCTAGAAGTAGAGCTGAGTCAGGTGGTAGAGCACCAACCTTGAGTGACAAAGCTCAGGGTCAGCGCCCAGGCCCTGAGTTTAAGCCCCAGGACCAGCACAAAAAGAGGGAGACTGGAAGAAAGGCTGAGAAGCTCTAGGGAGAAGGGAAGGGAAGTGAACCTGTGCAGGAGGCCAACAGAGCCCAGAGTCCTTCCCTTAACCTCTTGAAAGGCGGGTGCTCCAGACCCAGGCACCTTGGAAGTGTTTGCATGGCTTCTGGGCGTCGGCCATTGCATTGAGGCCCAGCTCACCCAAAGGAAGGCCCAGGCAGGTGTGCGCATGCGTGTTCATGCCCGTGGTACCTGCATGTTCATATGCGTGCACCCCTGCATGGGCCTTGGAAGAGAACCTGGCTCTTTCTTGGCCTTGGGGTGCCCTCAGAGCCCCAGGATGGCAGAGGCTGGTGCTGACTCTCCCTAGGACGCCCATACTAGAGTTCTCGGAACTTCAGGCGAATCGGGACGTAGGTGGGCCTCTCCGGAGGGGCAAAGGGGAAGATTGCACATGGCTTAGACCTGGGAGGGGCTGGAGTCCTACAGGCCCCAGGAGGGAGGAACTGGGGTCAGCAGCTGCCCCACTGGCAACCAAGGACGGATTGAGCGGCACAGGGACCGTGGTGGGATGCTAGGTAAGACATTCTCTCTGAGTAAAACCCAACCTTGCCGGCGGCTCACACCTGTCCTAGCTACTCAGGAGGCTGAGATCTGAGGATCACAATTTGAAGCCTTCCCAGGCAAGAAAGTCCATGAGATTCTTACCTCCCATGAGTCACAGAAAAAGCTGGAAGTGTCGCTGTGGCTCAAGTGGTAGAGTGCTAGCCTTGAGCAAGAAGCTCAGGGACAGTGCCCAGGCCGAGTTGAAGCCCCAGGACTGGCAAGAAAAGAAAAGAAACATGGCTTTTTCTTTTTCCTTTTTTTTTTTTTTTCATGCCTGTACTAGGGCTTCAACTCAGGGCCTGGGTGTTATCTCTGAGCATTTACTTTTGCTGAAGGCTAGCACTCTACCACTTGAGCCACAACTCCACTTCTGGCTTCTTGGTGGTTCATTGCAGATGAGTCTCGTGGATTTTCCTGCCTGGCCAGGCTTCAAACCTCAATCCTGAGATCTCAGCCTCCTGAGTAGCTGAGATTACAGGCGTGAGCCAGCAGCGCACTATGGCTATGGCTTTTCAGTGGCAGCCTCTTAACCAGCCAGGAGACAGCCTGGGGGGGGGGGTCCCCTCCGTCCCCCTGTGAGGACTGGAGAGTGCTCCCAGAGAGACCTGTTGGGACCTGAGGGCACAGGTGGGGGGCGGGGCAGCAGGGAGGGCCAGGTGGCCCTTGACCTACAAAACACAGCCTCCAGGAGCTGCCATCCGGGCAAGTGCCCAGGCCTGGCATCTGCAGGTGTCTTGACAGGGCATGATGGGGTCTTGCAGAGGGAGGAGACCCGGGAATCTGGGTCCAGAGCCTCGGGCTATGGCATCTCCCCAGTCTACAGCACTGGGCTCTGGTTCTTGGAGACCCCAAGGACTGTCTAGAAATCTCTGAGTGGTGGGTAGGAGTGTTTGTCTCCTCTCCCTTCTTCCCTGCGCGTCGCTACACACACCTGAGGATTATGGGCAGACCCTTTCTGGATGTGCCAGGAACATGGCCCTGAGGGGACGAGCTTCTGGAGGTTTCCCAGAGACTGGCAGCAGCATCCCAGGCTGGCACGCTTCGATGGGACGCCCCTGGCCCTGGGGTTGAGAGTGACAAGGGGCATTTGTATACCTGTCACTCACCCAGGGCACCTGCTGCCTGCTGGACCCACAGCAGGATCGCGAGACTGCTCCAACTCTGCCTTACCTGCCTGATCTCACACACACACCTCTAGAGGACGGCTGATTCACTCCCTGTCTGCTGTCAGCCCTGGGGCCACAGCAGCTTTGGGTGCAAAGCCTTCCCACTTTGTCTTGGACCTTGCATCTTTGACCTGAGCAGGCTGCATGTGCCCATGGACGCCCTGCAGGTGGCGCTGTGGCCCTCGGCCTGGCCCACAGCAGAGTGTTGCCACCCCAGGCTGAGGCTGTATGTGTGGCTTAGCCAGGACTTGGGGGCTCTGAGGTTTAGACTGGGCCTAACCACCACCCCCACTCCACCCCTTTCTGTTGCCCCAGGGAGTAGAGAATGTTCAATAGAGGACAAGAAGTCTACCTGGACCAATGAGAAGTGGGGGCAAAGTGAGGCTGGTGACCCTGGCGGTCCCCAAGGGAATGGGTGTGGATGGTGTCAGGATTGGATCTAAAATGTACCCCCAGCAGAGCGCTGTCAGCTCACGCCTATCGTCCCCGCTACCCAGGAGGCTAAGATCTGAGGATCATGGATTGAAGCCAGCCCAGGCAGAGAAGACTGTGAGACTTATCTCCAAGGGAAGTGGAGGTATGGCTCAAAGTGGTAGAGCATCAGCCTTGAGCACAAAAACTTAGGAACAGCACCCAGGTCCTGAGTTCAAGCCCCAGGACTGGCAAGTGTGTGTGCATGCAAACACACAAACTACAATTTTGACGTTTTTTTTTTTCTAGTTAGAAACATTTTATAAACCTACAGGGTTTTTTTTATTAGAAAACCGGAGCTGGGAAGGTGGCTGAGTGGTACAGTGCTTGCCTCACATGAATGAGGCCCTGGCTTCGATTCCTCAGCACCACATAAACAGAAAAAGCCAGGAGTGGCGCTGTGGTTCAAGTGGTAGAGGGCTAGACTTGAGCTGAAGAGCTCAAGGACAGTGCCAAGGCCAAGAGTTCAAGCCCCACGACCGACCTAAATAAATAAATTGGAAAGCTCTTGGGAAAAAAGATTATCAATATAAGCTCAAAATTTCTCATGCCCTTGTTAAGAGGAAGCAGGTGACTTTGTGTGTGGGGGCCATGTGTGGGTGTGGATATGGGTGAGCTGGTCCTGGGGCTTGAACTTAAGGCCTGAGTCCTGGGTTCAGGCTTCACTTGGTCAAGGTGAGTCTCTTCTGCTCTTCAACTAGAGGGCGCCCCCAGTGTCAGGTGGTGCCATGCACGGTGGAGCCAAAGGGGAAGGTGGATGTGACCAGGGCCCTGAGAAGGGATTCCTGCTGCTGTCCTCCAGGAACTAAGTTTTGGGGTGAGTCCCCCACCATGTACTTGGGCTTGTGGGTCCTTTTCTGCCATATCCAGCACAAGGGGCTCCACAAACTGCTTTGCTTCTGAGTGCCAGCCTGTCACATTGGTGACAGCAAGTGCCAACTGCGGAATGCACGCTCCCATCCCCCACGGGTGGTCACCCTGTGCCTCCTGAGCCTCTCATCGCGAGGGTCTGAGGGCTCCTAGGGAGCCTCATGGTGAACCCCAGCACATTCACAGGGATCTGAAAGAGGGGGCCAGAGCCATGCCCAGACACTGCAGGAGGTAAAAAGGCCTGAGAAAAACTCCAGGTGAGAGCCGCAGAGGGGTCTGAGGGCCCACGAGACTCTTCATTTAGGATAAACTGAGGCACACTGACAGTTGATGTCTAGGTTCTGAACTTTGAACTTTGCCCTCTGCTCTTTCTCTGCCATCACACACTTTTTCTTTTGGTGGTGGGAGTGGTCCTGGGACTTGAACTCTAGGCCTGGATGCTGTCCCTCAGCTTTTGTTCTCAAGGATAGAGCTCTGTCTACCACTGGAGCCACAGCTAACATTATGGCTCTTTGTTTGTTGGTGGTGGTGGAGGTAGTGGTTAGTTGGAGATCAGAGTCTCCTACACTTTCCTGCTCAGACCGGCTTCAAATTGGGATCCTCAGTCTCAGCCTGGTGAGTAGCTTGGATTACAGACACCCACTACCCAGCACCCGGCTTTACCCACTCCTTTGTGGGCCTCACCACAGCCCTGCAGATAGGAGGTGCTACTTCACTTAAGAGGCTCAGAGAGGGACAGAGACAGAGGCATACATGCACAGCATTTTGTGTCTCTAGCAGTAGGCAGAGCATATCATGCCACTGGGACCTGAGCGGACCTCCCTGGACCTGAGATCCCTCCTCTGTAAGAAGAGGATTCAACTGGGTGCCAGTGGCTCATGCTTGTCATCCTAGCTACTCAGGAGGCTGAGATCTGACGATCACAGTTCAAAGCCAACCTGAGCAGGAAAGTACATGAGACTCCACTGATTAACCACCAGAAAACAAGAAGTGGTGCTGTGGGTCAAGCGGTAGAGCACTCGCCTTGAGCTGAAGAGTTGACAGCGTAGGCCCAGAGTTCAAGTCCCACAACACACACACACACACACACACAAAAGAATCTCACCAAGCAGAGTGTGGAATGGCTCACATCTATCATCCTGGCTACCCTGGAGGCTGGAATCTGGGGATATTGGTTCAAAGCCAGCTTAGGCAAGGAAGTCTGTGAGATTCTTACTTCCAATGAACCATCAGAAAACTGGCATGGGAGCTGTGGCTCCAAGTGCTGGAGCACTAGCCTTGAGCAGGAAAAGCTCAGGGACAGCGCCAATGGGCTCTGGGGGACCAAGGCCCAGGACTGACAATACAAAAAGAGTCTCATACACTTTCCTGCCTGGGTTGTCTTTGACCATCAATCCTCAGATTTCAGTGTCCTGAGTAACTAGACATGACCTCCATTCACGGCAACTAGTTTTCTTTTTGTTTCTTTTCTTTTTTTTTTTCTTTCTTTTCTTTTTGTTGGTCCCAGGACTTGAAC